TGTTTCTCAGGATTGGGCTGGTTCCTTCGAACCTTCTTTAACGCTGAAATGTTATTTAATCTTGTACGTTTAGGATCGGGGAGACTGTCTAGAGAAAAAGAAAGGATAAACTCTGAAATGTTATTTTTTATTTTCTTTTGTTTATTAGGTTTTTGAATATAAAAGGTTTATCCCTTTTTCCTTTTTTTGGTTGGGACTAACGGTAAACAGTTATTTAAGTCCTTCAGTAGGAGTAGATAGGTTTTTGAATAGGAGTAGAGGTTTATCCCGTTTCCTGTTTAGGACAGTCCCTGAAATGTTATTTATTTATTTTCTTCCTTCGATCTAGAGGTTTATCCTTGTTTTCGTGGTTTCTGGTTCCTTCTAAAACTTCAACTCTATCTTCTAATTAATTTTGTTATTTATTTATTTTCGAGGTTTATCCCTTGTTTCCTGTTTATGCCGTTTTCTTATTTCTTTCTATTAAGTTTTATCGACGCAAACATGGAAGAACAACGTCTTTTTGTTGATTTTTCATCATCCGGGATTAGACTGTCGAAAAAGAAAGGATAAACTTATTTTATTTGTTTATTATTTTCATATAAAACCCAATTCATTTTCCTTTTTGGTTGGGACGCGGTACAGTAAGTCCCCGCGTTACGACAGTCCCCGATCTACGACGATTCGTGGTTATGAAGCGATAGTGCTGATCATCCGGGATTAGAGTGAAGAAATAGCATTGGTTGCAGAAAATCGGATTGTCTGGCTTACGTTCCGACTTACACGGAACTCTGTCGTAAATCGAGGACCTCCTGTATTGTTAATCTTATACACTTACCCAGTGTAACTACAAAATTGTCCAAATCATGTTACAGCATAATTGTCCATCCCACAAAGTGTTTGATGTCTAAAAAACCACTAAACTAATTGAGTTTCTTTTCCCCAGGTTTTCAGATAAAACGTTTAGCCATCTTGACACCATTTGTCGTAAGAATCACTGAAAAACCTTTTGATTTATTCAGCTAGAAAGAGAACAGGTTAAAATCGTTCTGCGTCAGCTCTGCTATGTCTTCCCAACTGAGCAATTGAGAGATTAAAAAAAGATCTTTCAGGTCTTCAGTAATGGTACCAACATTCATACTCTGGCTTCCATCTTCAAAGTTCATTCAAGAACCATCAAGAGAATGGTGAATAAGTTTAAAAAAACAGGCAACAGTAGAGAGGAAAACTGGATCAGGAGGTCACAACAGGAAGAAGGATCATCATTTCAATTTAGAGCTGAAGAGATCAATTAGAAAAGATCCAACTCAATCCATAAGACATTTGACACGTGAGAGAGGAGTTTCACCCATGACAATCCTAAGTGAAAAAAGACTTGAAAACCGTACGTGAAACATGTGAGGCACCTTGTTACTCCAGGACAGAAAATTAGAAGGTTAGAGAGGGAAAAGATCATCTTGAATAAGTTGGAAAATGATTCTGAAAATATATATATATATATATATATATATATATATATATATACATATATATTTGAACATTTCAATCCTTCATGAGCTTCCTTTCCGTAGCTATGATTAATTAATGATGAACATGTCATTTTCGTTTATGATAAATTTCATCACAATCCTTCTGTTAAATTTGGAGAGTAATTATACATTCTTATGGCTCAAAGTAGAGTCCAACAGTGTTATAAAGTTATAAAAACCTCGGAGAATTCAGTAAGATATCTTTAATCATTTCTAAGATACAACGGTTCAAAGCTTAATCTAACAATTGGACAATTTTGCTGTTACACAATTTGGACTATTTTGCTGTTACATGCGGTATTTGTTTTTGCTTAAATGATATATACCAAAATCAAACAAGTACAATTTAAATATCTTGGAAGTGTTTTAACAGAAGACGGAAAGTGTGACACCGAAATTTCGAAGATGGATTGGAATAAAGAAAGTACCTGCCTAAAGCTGAGCAAAGTATTAAGAAACGGGAAAATTTCGTTAGAAACAAATAAGAGTATTGAAGTGTTACGTAATATCAGTCTTCCTATATGGCAGTGAATGTTGGATACTCTCCTCCCAGATGAAGAAGTGACTTGAAGCAACAGAAATGTGGTTGTACAGGAGTATGCTTGGAATAACATGGATCGAACATGGGAGTAACGACAAAGTTTTAGAGAATTTATCACGAGTACCGGAAGTCAGAAGAATGATTGTGTTTGGCTGGGCGGAAAAGTTTATAACATCAAGAGAAAAATGTTTAATGAATATATTCTGCTGCTAACATGGCCAGAGATAGAAAGTGGTGGAAATCAAACAGGGAGGAGGGGTTACTCCAACACCAGTGAGACTTGCAAGAGATTTGGATTGAGAAGGTAAAACGAGACGTGAATTGGCTTCAAAATAAAATCTGGCATATCTTTGTTTAACAAATCTCATACTAATCTCTCCCCAGACATTTAAATGTTTGTACCTTCTTGATTCTGGTGTCACCAATTTGTAATTAGCATTTTGTTTTTTTTCATATTCTCTAACACTCAGTAACCCCTTGCGTCTCAGTGGCTTTATTGCCTTTATTAGGGTGATATTAAATTTTTGTACTTGCTTGAGTTCAGTGTCACCAATTTGTAACTATCATTTTGGGCTGCCCCTTTTGCGGACAATCATACATTTTTTTTACAATTGATGCTAAGTCCTTTCTTCTCGTCTTCCTTCACTACTTTCTGTAGGAGTACCTTTAGCTTCTTTTCTGAGCTACCAACATTTTGTCATCTGCAATTCGGATGCCATTACTGTGGCTGCCAATAATGGATGCTGGGAGGACTTCTATTTCTCTCAGAATCACCTCACCGTAAAGGTTGAATAAGTCTGGTGAGATGATACATCCTTGTTTTAAACCACTTTCTGTTTTTTGTGTCACTTAGTATGAATGCCTTTTGAAACTGCACTAATCCATCTATGGGTTAAATAGCAGAGCAGACTGGTCATCTAGATTTAATTGGGAAATCAGTTAGGAAGGATTACTGAATTCAAAACCAACCCTAGACACACCCTGTTAAGGGTATCTCAACTCGGTATCTATGCTGATGCCACAACTATTTATTTCTATCTTAATAGTAAGTCTCATCAGTTCAATAAGGTCAAATTGGCAGCTGATCTCAAAAATTACCTACAATCTGTTGTTAACTGGGGTAAGAAATGGCCTGTTAATTTAACACCTCCAAAATGAAACTGCTCTCTTATTTTATTTTATTTTTTTAATCATTTCACTCCAAGTAAGGCGATAGTGCCACTAAGTAGTAAGAGATTACTAGGAGTGAAAGAGAATGGGAAAACTTTAGTGATGAGAAATGAGGAGGAAGGAGAATAAAAGAACAGAATTTAGGAAGGCAGAAGATGGAGATTTGGCATTGCATTTAAATCTTTGAAAATTGTAGGTGACAGGGAAACAAGGAATCTGAACAGGCTTCCACGGCGCGACAAAAGAAACTATTAGAATAAAACATAGGGTTAGATCTAGCTTGTTCAACAGTAAAACGGTGAGACCTAATTACCAATCCAGTAGCACTCTTAAATTCCTGCAATCGAAGCACAAAGGAGGATAGCTCATTAGAACAATTGCAATTAAAATATCATAGAAAAGACAGAGGAAGCCACATCATGATGGTGAGAAAGTCAGTGAAGTCGAGAGCCAGGTCAGGGATCGATTACATTAGAGACCCTTTGAATTTTGTCAACATTCTTAAGATATAGCAGCTTAAAAAACATTTTTGCTTTCCATCAGCATATGGCTGATGCTAACCTCCAGGAGTGTGACTCATTCGCGGACTAACATGATGTAGAAAGATTATATTGAATCATTTACTAGGTTTGCTGCTAGGAATTTCTTTGTGTCGTTCGAGATAATTTTTCTTGTCAGGATCTATCTTACCACTAGCCTACCACTGTTCGTCCATGCATTGAATATTGCAGCTACATCTGGCCTGGTGCTTCTGCTATGCATTTAGAGATTCTTGAATAAAATACAAAAAAGAAACTGTAATGTTATCGGTCCTGACCTGGCATCTCAGCTTCAGTCACTTTCCCACCGCCGTGACGTAGCTTCACTGCAGTTTTTCTATAAATACCTTCATGATAATTGTTCTGATGAGCTTCCCTCTTTGGTACCTAGACTTTATAAATTTAAGCGCAGTACTAGATTGGCAGTAAGGTCTCATCATCTTACAGTTGAAATGGTTTGATGCAACCGTAAGTTCTATGCTAACAGATTCTTCTCTCTCACTTTTTGCTTTTGGAACTCTTTCCCGGCTTCAAAAATATAAATGCAGTGTCAATCGTTATTTTCTGTCTTCTTAATTCTTGTTCTTTTATTGTCCTCTCTCATTAATGTTTTCTTTTTCTCAGTAACTGCTTGTGTCTTAGTGGCTTTATTGCCTTGCTTGGGTGTGAAATGGTTAAAAGATTTATCTATTCAAAATTACGAATAATTAACTGAAAGAACATCAAATTTTTAAATTCATTAACTGTCGTCACGTGACCCTCAGGACCATTTAGGACGTTAGTAAACTCGTCCGGTATATATTAGCGGAGTAGGTAGGTAATGGCCGCTCCAGTTACTGCTATGTAGTAACTGCTTATTTAAGATGTTGCATACTGAAAAGGGCAATATTCGGAACTTCTTGGACATATTTTGCGAATGGATCCATAATGCCCAGCTAACAAAGCTATGGAGTTTTCCTTTGAAAAGACTGACTTCAAAATGTTCAGTGGCCATCCAAGAACCACCATAGTCACGACGTTGAACCGAGACATTCAAAGAACAAGGCAGAAAGATCCCACTTTTCCTTTGGAGAAGTTTACAATCAAGGAAGATCTGCACTGAATCCGCAAACACGCAAAGGACAGAGAAGGCTGGCAAAATATTGTCGAATCAGTAAACAATATCACCGAAGATGAGAGAACATGTTAATTCATGACCTCAAAGCGAAACAGTTTTGATGATGATGATGCATCCCTACAAAATTAATAAAATGCCAAAGAAAAAGACTTATACTCACCAACGATACGTTTTATCATATTGTTGTATTCTTTAAATTCTTTTCTAAGTGTGTTAGTAAAGTCTTCAATGCAAGCTAGTCTTTCGGACATCGGAATTGGTGATTGCGAGTTGTTGGCGGTGGATTCCTCTTCTGTTTTCTCGATAAAATTCCAGAAATGTTCCACATATTTAGTAATGATAACTTCGCTTTCGTTGAAAAGTTTGTCCAGGTCGAATCTCAGCGAACGCAGATTTTCCTGGATTTGTTCGTCCGTCGCCTCTTTCATGAGAACGTCTCCATCTTTAACAAGCATAAGCGCTGACTCAGAGAATGACCGACGCAAATGAAAGATCCGATTTCGATATGTAACATCATGTTTATCGTCTGCTTTGTTTAGTGACGCCATATTGTCCGTCTTTTCAAAATCGTTCTCCGATTGATTCTTAGCATCAATCTCCCCGGATAGACAATTTGTTATGTATTCATCTGTTGAAATTGTGTCGCTTTGAACTTTATTCTCATTGGCGGAAGTGATAAGGTTTGAAGTGCTTGGGGCTGTATCAAGAAGTTTTGACATCACGTCGTCCATACAGATTCTTTTTGAGCAACGGTCGTTTCTGTCTTCGAGGCAGTTTGGAATAAATGGGATTGATTTACTGTTAACGGAATCGTCGCTCAGGGAACAAAGAATACTTGGTGAGGAGGGAGAACACATTCCCGATGCTGACCGATATTTTGTGGTTTCTAAAATTCTTCTGATTACATTATATACAAGAGAATTTGCAGTCTTTTCCAAATCTTCTGATAGTTTTGTTTCCGACACTGTTTCAAACATTGTAAGTTTTGTAAAGGTTTTTTTTCTCTCACAGGTGTGTTTATCAAATATCTAATTAAATAGGTTATTATGTTAAAAAAATAAATAAAAAAAAAGATTCTCCAAGGAAGTAATGAACACGTTATATTGGAAGAGAAGCAATAGATTTTCTAGACTGGAATGAATTCCGCGTCTTGCAAATTAATAACTGACAGCGTTCGTTTATGTCTTCAATTCGTGACCGTTTACGTTAATCGCGCCTGATAAAGAATTCTTATTAATTGATTGGTTTATATTCTTGGTATTTAAAGTAACGGTGGTAATAAAATAAGCAGACACCATCTCACATCTCGCTTGTAACTAATCAGTCTTTCTTTTTATGTCCTGTGTCCTTTCAAGACGTTCGTCCTGGGTATAACAATAAAATACATCCGCATCCTGGGTAAGACGATAAACTTCGTCCAACAGCAAGGCCTCTGATCAGGAAGTTTTGAGGAGCGTGGAACCATCTCTTAATTGCTGGTGTTCCCAGGTGCACCCTGACCCGGGGTGGTAACACCTGTTGGGATCCCAACAATGGGCAAATAGTTAACACCTAAACTTCTGTAAAAATATGTTTTAATACCAGAAATACTTTGTAATAAAAAATTATTACCAGCAATAATTTTGAAGGAAAGATTATCATCAGCAATACTTAAAAAAAAGTACCAGCAATACAAACAGCTACATATTCTTTGAAAAAAATATGACCAGCTATAGTTTTATTCAAGGAAAAATATTCCCAGAAATAGATTTTTGAAGAAAAACATATTACCAGCAATAAAAATTTTGTCGGCATTAAATAACCCATTGAGGTTGATATGCCGTAAAACAAAACCAAGCCAAACGTTCAAGACGTAGGCGATCATGGCTCTCCACTTCTCCCTATCCCTTGTAGCTCTCAATAAGTTTCGTCCCACTGTCACCTCCCCCAGACCACTTAAAGCCGCCAGGTGTATCATGTGTTGCTTTCCCTTTTCTCTTTTACCTTCTATACAACCTGTGAGTATCAGATTCTCCGTCCATTACAATAAATATACCGTTTTTCAGCGCTATTAACTTTTGGTCAGTAACTTCCCAGACCCCACTTTCCAGCCTTGATGGAGTTCAAAAGCGTCTCCGAATTCTTCTTGGGGAAAATTATTTTCCACCCTCCAAACCTTTCTCTCACAGGTGGGATGGATCAAGATTCTCACTGTTCTATCGCTATTACCATAGAAAGTGCTCAGACGAACTACGTTAATTGATTCCGCCAGGTCTAAACTTCACGACTAGGACCTGCTATGCCACTCACATTGTAGCAAACCATCCATATTCCTTCCGTGTTCCATCGGTGAGAAGTAAGTTCCACTCAAACAGCTTCTTTCCGCAAACCACTGCCCTATGGAACAGACTCCCAAGAGGATGTTTCCCCAATCACTACAATCTTAACCTCTTCAAGTCAAGAGTTAACCATTATCTTCCTCTCCTGTCCATATAAACTACCCATTGGTGAGAAGTAAGTTCCACTCAAACAGCTTCTTCCTTCAAGCCACTGCCCTGTGGAACAGATTCCCAAGAGGATGTTTCCCCAATCACTACAATCTTAACCTGTTCAAGTCTAGAGTTAACCATTATCTTCCTCTCCTATCCATATAAATTACGCATTGTTGAGAAGTAAGTTCCACTCAAACAGCTTCTTCCTACAAACCACTGCCCTATGGAACAGACTCCCAAGAGGATGTTTCCCCAATCACTACAATCTTAACCTGTTCAAGTCTAGAGTTAACAGTCATCTTCCTCTCCTATCCATATAAACTACCCATTGGTGAGAAGTAAGTTCCACTCAAACAGCTTCTTCCTACAAACCACTGCCCTATGGAACAGACTCCCAAGAGGATGTTTCCCCAATCACTACAATCTTAACCTCTTCAAGTCTAGAGTTAACCGTTATCTTCCCGTCCTATCCGTAGAAACTGTCTCTTAACGTAACCCTTTACATTGTGTGGCCCCTGGGTCTTGTACAGAGTAAATCTTACTGTAAAAAAACAAGCTTCTAATTGGTGTTGTTATTATATTACAATTTATTAGACTAAGTCACTTTCGCAATGATGGGACATATACTCTGCCCAGACAAACTAACTATAGTCCCAAATTCTCAAGATGCTGAAAGAGAATACCGTCATTGGTAAAAACCCTTTGAAAATCTCATGAAGGAATGCTGGGATGGAACATCTAACAAGTTATGGTATTTAACAAAGTATGTATATCAGCTAACGTCTATGAGTATTTCTCATATGAGGGAGCATAAGATATTCCGGACAAACTGCAAAAGAAAAGGTACCTATGATAACCTCTCCCGATACATCAAGTGATGATTTCACTGACCCTTGGTCACGTCATGATGATTACCTAGAATCTCTGAGTCCAGGGTCATTATGTTACAACCCTAGCTCTGACAAACGGCCGGTACCTAAGAAACGGGTCCACCCTACTATCGACTCTTCTAATACAGAAGGCGAAAGGTCCAAGCATTGAAGAAGGTGAAAGTGTGTCAGGTCGAAGTAGCCAAATTCAGAACACGATAGACCAGGCAGTTCTTTAACCTTAGGAAGAATCACAAGAAAGACCTGATATGGTCGAGCCACTCCAACGATCTCAAAGGACCTTCTTTTGAAGAATTTTCTTCCATATGAATAAAATAAATACGGTGGGGAGTATGTGAGTAAGCATACCCATGGCCGACTAGTATTATACGGCCCCACATGTCATATAACAGACTGAATTCTAACAGGTCGATGTAATGTAAACAAAAAAAAAATGTGAATGGCCGCTTAGAAAATCGCTAATCTAAAAGGGAGGTAACTTTAAAAATTGAATTTTTAGAAAGTAAATTAACAACATATATTTACGTAGAATTTATCCGACGTTATTTCAATTACTTAGATATGTTTTCAACATTTAAATGTAAATTTACATTTTTTTTAACTAATCCACAAATTATAAAAAAATACAAGGGAATTCAGAAAACCTCCCAAAACAAGGACTGATCCAAATTAATGAATTACATGATTTTATTTCAGCTGATACGATAAAGGATTTTACTCAATTGGAAGAAGAAGCAAAGTGTTTTCCTAACGGTTTTGAATTTAAAAAGAGAAGATTATATTCTAATTTATAGAATAGTATTTGACCCTGGAATACGTTTCCCATTTATAAAAGAATGTATTCGCATTAACCAAAACCTTCACATTCAGCTTCAGTATACCGTTACCACGGTGGTTTATACATGGACATAATTCTAAACTCACAAGATTTAAAATGTTATAAAATTTTCTAAGTTACATACAAAACGTGGTGGAAGAACATCCATATTCAATACTAAAAGAATTACAAACAAGATAACATTACCAACCAAGACTTTCTTTTTCTGCAGAACTAATACGTTTTGCCTTACTACTGCGCTATATATCTCAACAAGCCTACAAATTACTTCGGAAGAAATTTCCATTGCCATTTTTTCTTTATTAGAGAAAAATTTTTAAAAAATAATTAAACGGTTACCGTGTGAAATGTGTTCCTTGGTCATGGTATGCAGTGATAGTGATGATGCTACAGGGAAGCAGTACTTTAACTTACTTTCTCGAGGAGGTTTTACGGTTCAAACAAGCCAAATGGCAGAGTGAGTTTGTGCTTGTTTTGCTATGCTTGACTATACAGATAAATTTATTGTAAAACATACTGTTTTCACTTCAAGAGAGTTTGCTGAAAGAATTTTGGAAATTTATTTTCCAAAATATGTTTTTACTTGTGAACAACACACTGAAAAAGGAATTCACTTTGCAGCAAAAACTGTTGTAAATATATTTTATAATAACAAACGAAAGTTTTCATCGGATTAAATTCGAAAAAATATTGTAGAATGTTTTAAAAAAAAGGCAAAGGTCAAAAGAAAATAGATTTATAGAGAAACTGTTAGTAAGTCTTTTTACTTGCATTTATTTGTATTACTGCTTAATTCTTTAATAACTTTTTTGTTCGTTTACAATCTTTTATTATTATTACTTTTCTGCTTAAAAAGAAAAAACAACATATTTGTGTATTTTGGGACGGTTTTAACATGTTTTAGATAAAACAGACATAAATTGACTATAAAGCAAATAGGCCTGTTAGAAATTAGTCTGAAATGTGACATGTGGGGCCATATATATTAGTGAGCCATGGCAAACCCCATCTTCCTTCTAGTTTGTAAGGATCCATTACAATAAATGTAACATTTTAAGCGCCAAAGCTGACTTATTACACTACACTAATCAGTGGTGCATTTGATGACGAACTCTTTACTCCAACATCCAGTGTAATATATATATATATATATATATATATATATATATATATAGATAGATAGATAGATAGATAGATAGATAGAAAGAAATAATCATACATAGAATCAATCAGCAATATTAATGCGATTAATGGCGAAATCACTTCGCTAGTAGAACATAATGTATGCATTAAAATACTGTTAATCCATTGAATGATGTGATCCTCATTTATAAAACTGTTGTCAGATGTTTTAGTGTATATTTTTTTAAGTTAAGCAAGTACTTTCGAAGAATCATTCCTTCATCGTCAGGCTGTAATTTTTTCCTTTAAAGTTAAAACTTGAAGACAAAATAATTGTTTGTAGACTGAAAGATGTTTTTTAAAGAGTGTGCTATTTATTGATGGTTGTACAATCTCAGAACGCTAAAGTCGCAACGCTAAAGTTCAAAATTTCAAGTGAGAATATATATATATGTATAAAAGTGAACATTGAAGTCAACACTTAGCATGAGCATGAAACAGCCTGTTGCCTCTAAGTGTTGACTTCAATGTTCACT